GAACGGATCCGAAGATTGACAGTGGTCAAAAGAGCTCGAAGGCGCGTGGAAAACCAGGTCGGTTCGACTATCAGGGGTGGCAGCAGACTGCAACATCACAAGGACAATGTTCGGAATGGAGACTCAAATGGGAGACGTGATGGGCAGATGGCCAGATGTGGGGGGGGGCGGTTTCCACAGGAATCATTCACCTTTCATCCTGCGTCACACTTGTTTACAGGCTTGGTGGCTTGCGATCCTTTGAACCCTGGAACCACTGAGGGTTTAGGATTTATATAGGGGTTAAATAATGGGGCGGAATAAGAGGTTTTCAAAATCAGGTTTCAATCACTTGATAACTTGGTAACAATAAATAGGGGGGCTGCAGATTAGTGTCGGTCAACAACAAACATGCTCCACAATGGGATGGGAAACACTTCCAGCTCCAAGGGGAAAGGAGCCTCGGGTTTTGAAACACAATTTGGCCACGACCCAGGAAAACAACAGCAAACTCTGAGTTACAAAGATGTATAAAAGGGACGTTGGGCCCGGTTCCCAGCAGGTGCCGCTCCCCACCAATAGATGGAGCAGCCCAACAGCTAAATCCCTCCCTCCTGGCGGTTCTCTCACCACCGCTGGGATGAAAGGCTTACGCAGGTGCTATTCAATTAAAAAAAAAAAAAAAAAAAAAAAAATCTCTGTTTGTGTTGATGGGGCTCTGGACCCAATTCCCAGTTGCGAGGCTACGCCCGCTTAGCCCCTACGGGGCCCTATCTGCAACAAGGTCGGCCGCCCTAAGTGAAGGCAGGCACGACAAGCCCTTCAGGCCTCATTCTTCAGGGTACCCCGCATCGGGGAAATTCAGACAGTTGCGTTGCGCCAGTTGGTTCAATGAATCCAGGCCCTGGGCCGCCTGTGTAAATGAGTGTAAGCAGGCCCTGGGCTGGATACCGGTACCGGGCCAAACACAGGCCGAAAGCAGTTGGGCGCATGCAAGGCCTGCTCTCTTCGTGACTGGGCCTGTGCCTACCGGGGCCTACCGGAATCTTCCTGGACTGGACGCAGGCAGGCCACCTCGATATAGGGAAGGGCCTGCCTCCTCATTCGGCATTCGGGTGCTGGCTGCATGCTGCGTGAGCGCTGCTGCACAATCCGCTGGCTGGCTGACACTCACGCTCTCACGGGCGAGTAGGAGGGAGCACGCAGCCATAGCCAAGCTGCGCTGCTGTATGCTAGGTGAAGCGCAGGGTGGTCCTTGGGGTGCTAGTGGCATCTGTGCAGTGTGGATCGGGGTTGTGAGTGTTACGAGAGACATACCTGGTGCTGAAGCGTGCGACATTGGTCGCCATATGCTCGTACTTCGGGAACGCTGTTGATGTCATCATTCTGCTTCGTAGCATAGGCTAGATAGGATCTGCCACATGTAGTCTGGGCGCCGAGCGCCAATAGGATATCAACTTTGGTTCGTAGTTGATGATGATGGGACTACAGCATTGTCAATTTTGAACTCTTGGTGTGTTCTTATTTGGTGTATCTCGTGATGCAAGTCTGTTGTGGTTCGAGGTCAAGACTATCTGGGCTCATATGTATGATGCTGTTTGATTGCTGAAGTTCGCTAATGCTCATCTTCCTTGCACAGTAGGTGCAACTTCCTTTCAATAAATTGGAGCCACCAAATGAAGGATACCCACACATCGAGTCAAAGTTTTTTTTTTTAATTTATTTAATTTTAAGCATCCCCATGATGTTAGGCTTCCCAACAAAAATTTGCCCTCAGGATTTGTGAGAAGTGAAACCTTTGCCGTCCGAGTATATGAGGGCGGTAAAGGTCAAGAGGTGCAGACCATGCACTTGCACACTGTAGAATATCAGGTTAGATACCTTACTATGATGGGGCTGTTTCTGTAGCATGCCAACTTTTTTTTTTTTTTTTTTTAATTGGACCATTTCCTCCGCTATTAGAATGGTCCGAGACTACTTGCCCGACCAGGCAAAAAAAAATATTTTTTTTTTATAGTTTTTTAGTTTTTTTTTGGGGGGAAGGTGCAACCAGTGTCGTATGATCCAGGCACTCTGACCTAATTCATACGACGACTGCATTTGAATTATATAAGCCGGAAAACGGGTCCAGCATCCCTCACATTATAGAAAAAATTGCAGGGCAAACCGTTTCCTTTCGACAAAATAATTCCCATAACAAATAAAATTAAAAAAACAGTCCTTAAAAAAAATCCTTTCATATTTAAAAATTTTCATTCCAATGTAAGTCCAATTCTCAAATTTTCAGTTATATTTGACAAGTTTCTGTATAAACGTGAGTTTTCCCTTCCAACTACATCTATTTGTTGAAGATGGAATGAAAATCTAGACGAGTTAATGAAATGTCTTAATTAAACTTTCATTCTACTACAACAAATACCTTCCAATTTAGATTGGATCAACCTATTTGTGACTGAAAATGCTTTTATAGAATGACAGTCCAATTAAAATATTTCATGAACTCATCCAAACTTTCATTCCATCTCTAGCATGCAGTTCAAATTTCATGAACTCATCCAAACTTTCATTCCATCTCTAGCATGCTGTTGTTGGATGTAACCATGTCGCCCTCAGCAAGACAACGATCCCAATGTGCAACAACGAAGTAAGCAAAATTTATGGACTAATCCAAACTTTCATTCCATCTCTAGCATGCTGTTGTTGGATGTAACCATGTCACCCTCAGCAAGGCAACAATCCCAATGTGCAACAACGAAGTAAGCATTTGTAGAATCCCAGAGCTAAAAGGAGAAAACGTTCTCCTCGAAGGCCTCGACCCTGCCAAACACATTCGGGCATTTCAAACAACACCCCGACCAAAGGCATACATCAGACCATACATGACGAATACAAATGTTAATTGAGCCACTAAATCTAGCTATATACAGACCACAAATATGTCACAAAAAGAAAGAGGAGAAACAAATGTCCGGCAGGCGGCCGCCCATCCGCCACAACAGCAATCGCCAACAGACCTGGAAAATGAACCCAGCCTGAGCAGAACAACTTGAGTGTTTTTGCGAAGAATCCCTTGCATTGGACTTTGAAAGTCCATTCAACAAGAATTGTTTGCTTAGTGTTGTATTTCACCTCTGCCCTCACCATGGTTGGGATAAGGCGCTCGTGCCGGCGAGTCACAGAGTTCCTCAAGGTCCACAAGGTCCTAAGTATGCCGCCATGCAACACCTCTTCGGCCCGGGTCAAGGGCGACAGAACAGTACCTCTCCTGGCCGCTGATCCGACCAAGAAAAAGTCATCAGTCCACCGCACCCTATGCTGCGGAACCGGCACATTCGCCCAAAAAGGCTGAAAAAGGTCACACTACATGCTACAACCCTGAGAAATCTGGCAAAGAGGAGTTGCCTTGGAAGTTTTTTTTGCACACCACAAAGCGGTTGGAACCGCCTGGTGAGCGAATAGCCACAGATAGCTCGCTTGTTTGACAACATACAAGTCCATCAGCGACTTCCAATGACGAGAAAAAGCCAGTGCCAAGCGAGGTACCGAATCCACAATCCAGCCGGTAGACATGCATCGGTTGACCACCTTCCAATCAATGTTTACAGACGGGCGAGAAAGTCGACAACCCAGCTTGGTGGTGTATCGATACAGCCGGACGGGTCCCGCTCGTCCCTGCGGCATGGGTGCTTCCATTGCCAGTTCCTAGGATGAACAGGTAAGTCGTAAGCAGGAGGCGACAATCAATAAGGACAGGCGTGGTCGGGACAATCAGTGTACTCAAGAACACAAACAGCAATCAACAGGTAAAAAAAAACGTAATGGCAAAGGAAGTTGGGATGGGTTAAGGGGAGGGCCCAGTGAAAAAGGAGCTTCCTGGGTTGTCCAAGTGGAAGCACGAAACTCCCCAGCAGCATCCACAGAGTCAATCGTGACTTACCATATACACGTTGGAGAGTGATCTGTTCCAAGTTTGTAGTATATTCCCACGGCAGGCTTCAAGCCTCCCTGAGCACCTCAAGCCAAAGAGGCAAAAAAAAACAGCGTGCCTCAGGCTGAGTTTTTGCTTGGACCTTCCCTGGTCCTTGCATGGCTGGGAGGCCCCGGAAAACAACAGGGTGACTCGGGCGGCCCGGCTGGTAGCCTAGACCATTTCTCGATTTACCCGTGTCATCCTTGCGCAGGGGGCACACTAATCTTCATTGTCTTGAAGGACTGTAGCCTGCCACCCTAAGCTGGCTATTTCTGTGAATTTCGCTTTTGCTTGGCGACCGGATTATCCTTTTAGGTTCGTTTTCGAGCGGCCTGTTGTTCGTCGCAAAGAAGGGCCCACTGCCCAAGGCAAACCTAATTCAAGCCCACTTTGTTCAGGACCCCCTAGGTCCCACCCTGTACCCCTGAGGAGGTGCCTTGCCACGCCGACAACTTTGAAAGCGTCCATCTACTTGAAAAACGAGCTGGCATCATGCAGGACAAAGTTCTCAAACAGCAGTGGGGAGTTTTCCGCAATTGGCGAAAGCCTCACGGAGCGCATGCTCTTCAGATACCGTCATGATTTCGTCTCTGAAAAAGGAGTTTACGACCCATAGGCCTTCGACCTCCACGCGGCATTGCTCCGTCAGGCTTTCGCCCATTGCRGAAAATTCCCCACTGCTGCCTCCCGTAGGAGTCTGGGCCGTGTCTCAGTCCCAGTGTGGCTGATCATCCTCTCAGATTAACTACTGATTGTCGCCTTCGTGAGCGATTACCTCACCGTCTAGCTAATCAGATGCAAGTATCTCCTTATGTTCCAGCTAAACTATGTATGAGGGACGCTGGACCCGGTTTCCAGCAGGTGCAGCTCCCCACCAATAGAATGGAGCCAGTAGCCGAGCTACTAGTGGTAGGTGCTCGTATCACTATCACTAGTAGCTAGGGTCTGTTAAAAAAAAAAAAAAAAAAAAAAAAAGGCAGAAAAAATGGGTTTGATGCGAGGCATGGTGGCATTGCAAGTACTTTCCGAAAAGACAAGGTTGGGTCCTTTGCTGGTTTTGCATCATATGTGGAAAGGTCGCACAGCAGGCAAGAAAACATATTTAAAAAAAAAAGAAAGAGAATGGTCACACTGCAATGTATAGCCTTAGGAGTCATGGTAGGTAGGTCGTGAAGGATGAAAGAATTAGACTGTAGGTGTAAAAAAAAAAAAAAAAAAAAAAACCAAGATGGTCTAGTGGTAACCTAGGCTACCAGCCGGGCCGCCCGGGTCACCCTGTTTTCCCGGACGGCCTTATCATGCAAGGACCAGGGAAGGTCCTAGCAAAAAAGTTAAAAAAAAAGATCCGGAAAAAAACTATGTTATGCATAAAAATATAAAATGAACAACTTTTGCCTCAGGGTCACATCGAAGTTCTTTACCAAATTTAAAATTATTTTTTTATTTTTTTATTTTCTTTTGGCCCGGCCGGGCAAATGGCCCCGGGCCTGGGTGGTAACCTGATAAGTAGTAGAACAGGGGGCCAACCAGAACAATTATTCCGGCTCTAAGTTGAGCTCGGATCAAGGGTTCGCTGCTTGCAATGGAAGATCTGTGCGGCCGCAGTGACTACCATCATTTTTTTATTTTTATTTTTTTTGTCTAAACCCGAGAGAATGCTAGGGGTGCTGGTAAGAGCAGACACCACTAGCATTTCCCAGGGAGCTCCATCTATTGGTGGGGAGCAGCACCTGCTGGAAAGCGGGTCCAGCGTCCCTGAACATTTAGTTTGCTTCTTCAAACGAATATGCAGTTGCAATGACAGCCAGAAGGCGGCCTCATCTGTGAGCGTGGGATTTTGGCAGGCAGCACTACGCAGCAATCTGAGCTGCTTGCCTACCTAACAGCCTACTTCTAGCTGCATCCTGTTCGGTTTTGTAGTTCATGTTTTGGTTGTGGCCTGCATGCTTTCACAGATCAGGGCTCCATCATAATAGCACATGTTATTATCTTTTAATGTTTAAGGGCTAAGTAGCCCAGCCCAACTCAATCTTCTGTGGAGTCTAACCGGATGGCCTTTCACAGGCTTTCAGGATTTTATTATCATATCATTATTACACTATTACAGGGAACCCCGTAGCAGCCACATCTGTGTTCAGCACCCAAACTTTTTAGGTGGGCAATACCGGCCAGGGGTCAGCTGGTAGCATCAGGACTGAGCAATACCAATCAGGCCAGGGGGGAGGGGGGGGGGGGGGGGGGGGGGGGGGGGGAGCAGGGAGAAATGCCTGCTCTGATACCAGTGAACCGGACCTGCCGGGATAGTGGTCCGACAGGATGGAGAAGAAGGGGTTGGGGGGGGAGGAGGGGAGATGGGTGCAATGTTCTTGCACTTTCCCAGCAGGCCATTCATAACACTTACAAGGACAATTTCGTAATTTTTCAGAGTTCTGTGTCCTAACCGGTAATTGATACAGGCCTAAACTGATGGGGACTTCTCTGCAAAATCCCTGATGTACTGCTAAGTGATTACTACTGGCCCTAAACTTCGTTGCAGGTCGAAAAGGACTGTTGCCCTGTTACTGCCTCAAACAGTGTTATGAATGGCCTGCTGCGAAAACACAGACCCATAACTGTTTTTCGTTTTAGGTCCTAGGCAGTCCAGTCGAGCAGGTTAAGAGTACAACCATAACTAGAATGGGTCCATAGCGTTAGAGGTGTGGGTCGCAGCACTTGTTCCGTGCTCGTACTGCCGCCGCCAGGCTTCCGGACCAGCGCTGTCGCTGGTCAGCATCTGCTGGAGCAGCGCTGTTACTGTGCAGCACCTGCTGGAGCAGCAGCGCTGTTGCTGGGCAGCATCTCCTGGAGCAGCAGCGCTGTCGCTGGGCAGCATCTCCTTGCGCAGCATCCCTGTAGCTGGGCAGCAAGGAAGCTGGTGCTTCGTCTGCTGACTCTGCCGACACCAGATCTGTGCTTTGGGTTGGGTTCTGCCATCTCTTCTTCTCTGTGGCTGCTGTGCTTCTTCTTCTTCTTCTTCTTCTTCTTCTTCTTCAAGCTGGAGTTTCCTTCTTCATCCGGCTTCAAGTTGAAGAAGCTGTGTTCTGAGGAACCTCCAGCTTGAAGAAGAAGAAGAAGAAGAAGAAGAAGAAGAAGAAGAAGAGAAGAAGCAGAAGAAGAATTGAATTGAAGTAGCGAGGTCGACCGCTACGCGTCCATGTTCATAGAGTAGACAACATAGCTCCTACACGGACTTCCAGCTCAACGCGCACATTCCCCGACGCGTTTCGCCTGGCTGCGCACCAGGACTTCTCAAGGGGCTACCACACTCCCGCATCCACCGTACCACGCCGCCGCCAGCTTGAAGAAGAAGAAGAAGAAGAAGAAGAAGGAACCACCAGCTTGAATAAGAAGAAGAAGAAGAACCACAGGTGTTCTGGGGAGTTCGCCGACTCCGGAGTCTCTGAGTCAATTCTGGACTGCGGTGGTGCTGCCGAGACAGCAGAAGGGAGGCGCTGGAGGTCTGCAGGATAATAGGGCTGGGCCGCGTGAAGCGGGGTGAGCGCCATAGCTGGCGATGTGGAGGTTGGTGCGGAGGGAGGAGGAAGACTGCTGAAGCTTGATGAACCTGTGTTCAAGATGGTTTACTCTCGGTCGTGATGCTGTGCTGTGGGTTCTTTCAAGATGGTTTACTCTCGGTCGTGATGCTGTGCTGTGTGCCAACGCACACCCAGTTGGACCTCACGGTCGGATTCATCAGCACCATGCATAAATAGACCGAAGACATTGCCCTTCCTCAGGGAAGACTTCTGTGCGTGATCTCTCCCCCCCC